AACAGCTGAGGTGTAATGCATCTATTAATACAATATTTACTCTAAATGTGATAATTCTGATGATGTTAAAAATTACCGGTCTTCATGAATAATGTCCGATTCATCGCTTTGGCGTCAATACGTAACTCATTAAATTTACCTTGCATTATATATTAGCTCTGGTAGTCGACGGTGTAATTAATTTGACCTGGTGATTGCCAAATTAAAAAGAATTAAAAATATCCTGATTTTTTATAAGTTGTGACCTTTAATTATAGGACACCGTTTATTGAAAAAGGATAAATATATAAAATTAATTTTTTATAAAAATAATTAAATATTGCAAGACTGCTTTTAAGTAAAAGAAAATATTAAAAGTAATATTTGCAATTTATTAAAAATACTTTTGAGTAATTAAGAAAACCTCTTAGGAAAATAATTAATACAAGCAACCTTGCAGTCACTATGTGGCTGCCGTGACTTGTGAACTTTAAATAAATAAAATTTTGCTTTAGTAAATAATAATTTCTGTTAAATTACACTGTTCTTTCTTAAATATTGACGTTTATAAAAATATAAGCTCATCCCGATGTTACACTCATCAAGAGCTTTCATTTGAGTACCCACATGCATTTTCATATATTTTTCATACATACATACATATATGTAATATATATAAATATATGAAATATATGAAAAATTGATGTGAGATACTCAAATGAAAAGTCTCGATGAGTGTAACATCGGAATGAGCTTATATCTTTAAAAATGTCAATAGTTCACAAGATACAAAGTCGTTTCTTAATTATGTTAAATTACACTGTACTTTTTTAATTATTGACATATTTAAAGATATAAGCTTATCTCGATATTATACTCATCAAGAGCTTTTACTTGAATACCCACATGGATTTTTTTATATGTTTTTCATATATACATATATATTAGGGTGTCCGTTATTTCCCAAATCGATTTTTTTTAGCGATCGCCCCCTGAATCTTTAGTTTATGACCTAAAAAAAACTATCCAACACAAACGGGCTCTTAATTTCCCATTTAAATAACATGGGATTTTTAGACTTTTTACTTTTAATTTTTTTCCTTAGAAACAAATGGAAGTAAAAATTTGATCGAAGCATATATATATATATATATATATATATATATATATATATA